CACGCTTCTTAGGTGGTGCGGTTTATGGATTTTGTCCATCCACAGTGGCAGTATGGATGCACAGGGATTGGATCCACTCCTTTGGAGGTGAGTCTAGGCACCCACCTTCTCACAGAGCTGGAGCTCGCAACTGGAGTTCTGCTGGGAGGTCCACCGGTGGAAAGAATGACACTTCCAGCATTTCATGATTGAAGTTGTCCGAAAGTCCCAGCATTGGCCACTGGAGTGGATCCAGACCTGTGCGAGATATGCCAAGACCAGGAGTTTCCCAGGCCTTCGCTTCAGGGACGTCCCCACGTGATGGGAGAAAAAGCACGGGGGAGAAAGCGCGCACCCGACGCCAGGCGCCACGGCGGAAGTCGCAGGGCGACCGCCACGAGGCGCGTCGTCTCTTCGGAGGGGCGCGGGCGTTTTTTTCCTTTTTTTTGGTTTCTCTCCGTTGGTGTTCAAGGGAAACTGAGCGGCGCACCGCCAGGCGCCTCTGGTTTTATTTTATTTTTTTGGGGGGGGGTCCAAATGCTGGAAATCATGGCGCGCCAATCCGTGGTGTCCGGATTTGCGATGGGGCCCGTGGTTTGGAAACACAGTGTTTTCAGAACAGACTGTGTCTGTGGAAACTGCAGCACATGCCATTTCTATGTTATTCAAGTAGATTTGGCCTTATGTCTGAAATCAGTGCGAAATCGCGAAGCCCCAATATGCACCTGTTTTCCCAAGGCAAAGAACATTTGGAGGGTTGAAGATTTGATTAGCTTCCATATCAGCGGGAGAGGAATCGAGTCGCCGATGTGTCAAAACCAGGCAATTGGAACTTTCAAATTCGACACTCCTGTTGCTCCCCTTTCAAAACCGTGCCCAAATGGGTCTTGATTGTTGTGACACAGTGAACATAAGATTGGATGCCTGAACATATATTTCACATGGAAAGCAGAAGACATAACTGGCGAAACTGGAAGTAATGGGTCATCACACCTTGCCAGAGGGATTCTTAGATCACGCCTTGATCAATGATCCGCATAGGTTTGTGTTGACCGTGGCATCTTTGACAAATCATGTCGATGTGAACGGAAGCAGGGTTTCAATTGTTTGGTCCGACTCAAACCGAAAACAAAAAAATAAACAATCTCAAAAACAACGAAAACAACACCGAAATACATCCGCACCCAATTGGTTGTCCCAAAAAAAAGGAGCACTGAGCATCAAGAAACCTTGGGGGCAGTCATGACCACAGGCCGCTAGGTTGGACCTTTGCTGAGGTCATATGTCTCCTTTTGGCTCATCCAGTCGATTGTTGGGAGGGGCACCGACCAAAAACCACCCTGCATGGAAACTGACGTTGAGGGGTCCTGGTTTGGACCATTCTCCTTACAATGGACCATGTGTCTGTTGGGTTCCTTGGCAAAGTGCGCTTGTTTTCTTGACCGCTCACGTGGGAGCGGGAATACCCCACCCCCCCATTCTACCGATTCAGGCTCCTGTATGGGCGCGCGTCTTTTGAGGCGAAGGGGTGTGGTTTTGAAGAAGGACCAAAAGGAGAGCCACCAGTTTTGGAGGGCCAACCGAGCCACACCCATGTGCTTTGTTGGCTTCCCAAAAAAGGAAGCCGGCGGGTGGGTTCTTCGGACTGTTTGTCAAGACCCCATAAAACATGGGATTTCCCCTTGCGCAAAGCGTCTTTGCCAGGCTTGCCAGCGGCTAGGCGCGTGCGGGTTTCAGACGCTATACTCCTGGCACCCCCAAAATGGGTAAATGTTTGCCTGCGCCCTTGAGATTCAGCCAAGAACACAGGAAGCAAGACCAGGTGTGCCATGGTCCGACCGGATCCTTGGGGTTCGTTTTTGGGATGGCCCGGGTAAGGACCCTCCTTGCTACGGATGGGAACGAATTCAATCGTCCCTTGCCAGGCGATTGCAACCAATCCCTGGAAGCTTGGCAGATTCGTGGATGCGGCTCGTGTTTCTCCCCAGATAGCTGAAAGCTATAGGGGTTCTAACTTGTAGTATTTGCGAGATTGACGGCCGGGTGCTAAGGGGCATGCAATTTGGGGTGCTGGTGGAGAGTTGCTTGTGACGGTGCGGGCGCATTGGCTAAGGGGGCATGCTGCAGTTTGGGGTGCTGGCGCAGGTGCTGGCTCTGGTGCTGTTTGATTGACTGCAGATGGCCGGGTACTAGTGGGCATGCAGTTGCTGGTGCAGGTGCTGGTCTGGGGTGCTGGCGCAGGTGCTGTTTGAGGTGCTGGTGACGGTGTGGGCGCATTTTTTCAAGAATGACGGCGGCGTGTTAGGGGGCATGCAGTCTGGGGTGCTGGCGGCGGTGTGGGTGATTTTTTGCGAGATGGTGCTGAAACACATGCAGTTGAGTGCTGCTGTGGGGCGTTGTTTGGGGCAGCTGTCGTCGGTGTGGGGCTTGCTCCGGAAACAATTTTGCTTATAGCAGAGATGATATCCACGAGCACACCTCTTGGAGGGTCCCTTGTACTTGCAGGTCCCTTGGTTGTACCCGAAGCAAAGGGGACGATCTTGATTGTCACCTGTCGGGGAACAGTCTTGCCTTTTCCTTTTGACCCAGCTTTCCCAGGCCCCGGCTTGGCTTGTGACTGGTCTCCTGACTTGTGTCGCTTCTGTTCCCGATTTCCTGACTGGCTTGGTCTGTCATGATGGGCTCGTGGAACCGGGACAGGTACAGGTGCCAGATACTGCAAAACCTCAGTGGACTTGGACAGTCTGGATATATACAGTTTCCAGGGGCTTTACACCCAGAGAGTCGGCAGTCAAAGCCCCCATGGTCTCATGCGCTGCCAGCACGAACAGCTGCTTGTCACACTCCAAAATCTGCGCGAGTGTAATTTGACGAAATTGACGGTAGGGTGCTAGGGGGCACGCAGATTCGGTTGCTGGTGCAGGTGCTGTTTCTGGGTATCATCATGATGCTGACCGCATAACCATGATGTTGTTGAAACCATCAGGACGTGGTTGTCATGTTTCGTGGCTGGTGTAGCATCATGCGGGCGCCAACCATACCGTGACGCTGCTGGAAGCGTTTCGATGCCCCGCGTTATGGTTCGCGGGTCATGCAACACAATGATTCTGTCAACATGATCATGATGTGTCGTAGGATGACTCGTGGCTGTGTCCTCATGACGCTGTTTGCATCATCATGATGCTGCTCGCATCATCACGATGCTGTCGAACTCATCAGGACGTCGTCCCTGCGTGATGCAGCGCGGCTAGCGCGTAAAAGGTTTGTGGCTGGTGTATCAGCGTCATGCTGCCATGATGCTGTGACATTACCATGATGCTGTCCACATCATCATGATGCAGGTGGAGCCTTAGGATGCTGCGTCATGGTTCGTAGTGCTATCTGGGGCCTATGCTGGTGTAATTTCCCCCGGTCGAGCAGACCAAAAGCTGGGGGTATTTTCCTAGGGCAGGTTGCGCTCGCGGGTTTGAACACCAAAAAACCGAGCGGCGTGTTTTCCTTGTGGGGGGGGGGGGGGGCGAACCCTTGCATGGCTGAAAGCGGGCGACGCTGAGAGCATGGGATCAAGGCAAGGCGGCGAAAGGGTGGCTCATCATTTCTAAGGGACCGCACCTAAATGGCGCGTTCTGTTTTTCCTTGTGGCTGCCTGAAAACCGCAAAAAACGCCCTCAAAAAAGACAAGCCGCAAACGCTTTGCAACTCTCTTAGGACCTTGGATGCTACAAGGGCCATCGAAAATACATCTGTGCACTTCAAGGCCAAATTATGTTTATTCAGGGATCCTTTCCAGAAAGTCGGAAGGCAACCCAGGTTGAACACGGAAATCCGGTTTTTTGGAAAGGATGGGTTGTTCAAAGACTGCTTGAACTCCACTCAGGTCACCCTTAGTTGGTGGTTTGGATGGGTGGTTTGGGGATTTGGGCCCCTGGCTTTTATGGAGGGTTAACGGCAAAGCAGCCGCGGAACACCACCAAGCCACCGAACCACCAAAACCACCAAACCCAGGGCATCCTCTCTACAAAACCTCCGGCCGGACCCTCTTTTTTTCCCCAACAGCTGAAAGCTTTGGGGTCTCAGCCCAGATAGGCTCCGGGTTGGTCCGGGGCGGCCCTGAGGTAAGGTTCCACGAGGAGGGTTTCACCAGGATTCCACCAGCGTTTTGCCAGGATTGCACGAGGTTCTCCGGGGTGGTGCGAGAACTAAAAAGAGCACCGCATGCTGTTGGGGATATCACCTGATCATATTTTGTTTGGTGTTTTCTCCGAAAATAAAGGACGGCGGGTTTTTTCAGAGACGACGGGTTGGACTCACCCCATCTGGCCATGGGTCAAAACCCAAACCGTACCCCCAGTGAACATCCCAATCCAACCACTAAAATAAGTTCTAACATGGGTGGTGAATTCACTTACCAACCAAAACGGGATCCAAAACGGCTTTGACAACCACAGCCATATATATATATATAACTTCTTGGTGCACCCTCGGGTTGGAGGTAACGTTCTCGACTATTGCCCGCCTCCCGGCGAGACGGTTTTGACGACAGCCTGAGGTGCAAGAGAAGATCTCGCTCTGGGAGACCATGTCCGGAGCTTCCGGACGGGCAGCGAAGGCGACTCTGAGACAGCTGCAACTGGGTGGTGTGGTCTGCAAAATGGGCCCCCAAAATGGGAACGCAGTCAAAACACATAAGATACCCTCAAAAAAGAAAACACCACCAAATGGGTAAAAACACATAAGGTACCCTCAAAAAGGAAACGCAACCAAACGGCTTTGCAGCTATCTTCTAGAGAAAGAAAAAGACCATTATATATCCATTCACATGTCTTGTTGCATCGAACGGCGTCTCCAACCCCCTGCCATCAAACTTAATATTTAGCAGCGGCGGCAGCGGCCGACAGAAGGCCTTTCGAGGCTAGATGATCTCCTTTTGGTTTACCAGTAAAATTTTCCGAAAAGGCGTCCGAGCCCCAGTTTGAGAAACCCGAAAAAAGTCGCCGTGTCAAGTTCCATGGCATCGGCAGATGTCCACCTCGACCACTGGCAGCCAGACGGGCAGCCAGGCTGGCAGCAGAGCCCGGATCTCAGGGTCTCAGGTGGTTGGTGCCTGGTGGCTCAACTCAAAACACGCCAAGGAGTTCGTGACCGAAGCTCAAAGGAAGCCAAGTTCTTGAGGCCCGACCATGAGACCAAGCCACCGAAACTCTGAGTAGCTTCGGCACTCGCGGGTTGGTCTTCGCCCATCCCGACACCAAAAACGATACCTGGGTATGTCTTCGTCAGGCTTGGACCCCCAACCTGGCGCAAACGGTTTTCCTTTGGTTTCCCGTTAACACCAAAAAAGGGGTACCTCAGAGCAGATCCCCATTTGTAGATTCTGGTCTCTAAAAGCTGACGTAGAGTTGGAGGGTCACCTTTGGTGTCTTACAACATGCCTTCTCGGTTTCCGAGAGTGGGTCAATCACAAAATCAGTTCGAATACGGGACCGTCATAAGTTGAGCCTGGAAAGTCCTATGTGCAATGAAAGGTCTCTTCCAGAATCAGCCTCTGCAGAGTTTGGATCGGTGAACCTTGCTTCTTTTTTGTTTACATGCTCGGAAGCTTTCACTGCACTGGTTGATACTGTGGATGGACGAAACATGTTGCCATGGGAAACCATGGTTGGTTGATATTGGGGGGATCGAATCATTCCATGGTGTCTGAACGGTGGTGCGAACGGATTTCGTCCATCCATCAGTGGGAGCACTTCGCGCTTGACTCATTGCCGCGCTCGCAGCGGCGTGAAACCGAGCCTAAGTTGGCAGAACGCATATGGGTGGCTCGTTTTTTTGGGATAACTCAACTTCTCTGCGTCCCAGATGCCAGCATCAAGCACGCCAGCGCCCGTCTCGGCTTCAACTGGCAATGCCAGTTGCATCTGCGGTGTGCATCATGGTATCATGTTGGACTGCTTTGTCCACAAAGATGCCTGCGCTGACTTCGCATGCATCGATGATGCTGGCTACTTGTGGGGATAGCACGCCCATGTCTGAGAGGATCCGCTGCTTGATGCATCTTGATGCTGGCAGCAACTTCTTGCAGGCGAGCACAGCGTTGCGGGCTGACAAATCCCGGTCCATATTGCTGTGGGTCAAACGCAATGGGATCCCACGTTGGGGTAGGTGCACCACCCATGTTAGAACTTATTTTAGTGGTGGATTGGGATGTTCAGTTAGGGGTAAGAGTTGGATTTTGACCCATGGCCAAAGCGACAGCTTCCTTTGGATCACGCACTGAACCCTCTGCGGGCCAACGGAGCCACATCCATGACCTCTTCACCGGGGAAAATGTGTTTAAACCATCAGAATCGCTGCTTTTAAGGGAGTCCCAAAGGAGTTTGGTTGTCCACCCCAAGGCCGGCCATGAGCCTCTCTCGAGAGGCAGATCGATGTGGTTGTATCCCTTTCGGCCGCATTTGCAAGAGGAGCCCAAAGGACTTTGTGCTTAGGCGGTTCCTAGCCATACCGGGCCATACCTTTAGACTTTTACACATTCATACAGGGCATATTTTCCATGAAAGGTGGTTACACCTTAAGGGATCAGCAAACCGCCAATGTTTGGACACAACCGGTGTTTTCACAATCAGGTGGTTGAGACGCCCACTCCCCGAGGCCGGCAATGGTTGCCATGAACCAGATCTGATTCAGCCAGGTCCTCACACAACATCCGCATCTTCCGGCTCGCTGATGGCGCACCCATCAACGCCGCCGGCAGCAAGTTCATCCCCGGATCTCTTGAGCCGGATGCAGTTTCAGTTCCAGTGTTTCAGTTGCAAAGCAGGCAATTTATGGCTCTGGCGCGTGCTTCTTCACAATCGTATCATGATGAAGGCAAGGTGTTCTTTTGAGCTCCGACAGAGTGGCGTCGAGCCGCTCTGATCGCAGCGTAGCTGTAGCCTGTGCAGGGCTCAGTGGGAGCGGTGTGGGACAAGCTAGGGCATCACTAGGCTTCGGTCCCGCCCGTTGGGCGAAGGCTCGAGGGCCTTTGGACCTACGGCTTTTAAGGTGAACCAGAAGTTGCCAATTGCAGTTTCCGACAGGGTGGCGTCGAGCCGCTCTGATCGCACCGTAGCTGTAGCCTGTGCAGGGCTCAGTGGGAGCGGTGTGGGACAAGCTAGGGAATCTCTAGGCTTCGGTCCCGCCCGTTGGGCGAAGGCTTGAGGGCCTTTGGACCTACGGCTTTTAAGGTGAACCAGAAGTTGCCAATTGCAGTTTCCGACAGGGTGGCGTCGAGCCGCTCTGATCGCACCGTAGCTGTAGCCTGTGCAGGGCTCAGTGGGAGCGGTGTGGGACAAGCTAGGGAATCTCTAGGCTTCGGTCCCGCCCGTTGGTAGAGGTCCTTAGGACCTACGGCTTTAAGGTACGAATTCATTCTGTATTTCCAGTTCCTTTGAGCCAAAAGTTGCCAATTGCAGTTTCCGACAGAGAGGCGTCGAGCCGCTCTGATCGCACCGTAGCTGTAGCCTGTGCAGGGCTCAGTGGGCCCGCGCTTGAGGTTCTTACGAATTTATCCTGTACTCCCAAGTCCTTTTGAACCAGAAGTTGCCAATTGCAGTTTCCGACAGAGTGGCGTCGAGCCGCTCTGATCGCACCGTAGCTGTAGCCTGTGCAGGGCTCAGTGGGAGCGGTGTGGGACAAGCTAGGGAATCTCTAGGCTTCGGTCCCGCCCGTTGGTAGAGGCTCCTTTGGACCTACGGCTTTTAAGGTGAACCAGAAGTTGCCAATTGCAGTTTCCGACAGAGTGGCGTCGAGCCGCTCTGATCGCACCGTAGCTGTAGCCTGTGCAGGGCTCAGTGGGAGCGGTGTGGGACAAGCTAGGGAATCTCTAGGCTTCGGTCCCGCCCGTTGGTAGAGGTCCTTAGGACCTACGGCTTTTAAGGTACGAATTCATCCTGTACTCCCAGTTCCTTTGAACCAGAAGTTGCCAATTGCAGTTTCCGACAGAGTGGCGGCTCTGATCGCACTGTAGCTGTAGCCTGTGCAGGGCTCAGTGGGAGCGGTGTGGAACAAGCTAGGGAATCGCTAGGTTTCGGTCCCGCCCGTACAAAGCGCAGGGCGGAAGGGCGAAGGCTTGGGGTGGCACGAATTCATCCTGTACTCCCAGTTCCTTTGAAGCAGAAGTTGCCAATTGCAGTTTCCGACAGAGTGGCGTCGAGCCGCTCTGATCGCACCGTAGCTGTAGCCTGTGCAGGGCTCAGTGGGAGCGGTGTGGGACAAGCTAGGGAATCTCTAGGCTTCGGTCCCGCCCGTTGGTAGAGGTCCTTAGGACCTACGGCTTTTAAGGTACGCATTCATCCTGTACTCCCAGTTCCTTTGAACCAGAAGTTGCCAATTGCAGTTTCCGACAGAGTGGCGTCGAGCCGCTCTGATCGCACCGTAGCTGTAGCCTGTGCAGGGCTCACTGGGAGCGGTGTGGAACAAGCTAGGGAATCGCTAGGCTTCGGTCCCGCCCGTACAAAGCGCAGGGCGGAAGGGTGAAGGCTTGGGGTGGTACGAATTTATCCTGTACTCCCAGTTCCTTTTGATCCAGAAGTTGCCAATTGCAGTTTCCGACAGAGTGGCGTCGAGCCGCTCTGATCGCACCATAGCTGTAGCCTGTGCAGGGCTCAGCGGGAGCGGTGTGGGACAAGCTAGGGCATCGCTAGGCCTGACAACCCGCCCATTGGACCCAGTTCTTGCTGGAAAAGTAGTTTGCAATCAGTTGAAGTATCCAGTTAAGCGAAGAGGTAGTTCAAAAGCACCCAATGGGACACTGAACCTGAGGGCATCGGAGCCGGCCATCAACTTTGGAGCTTCACGCTTCACTATCCGACCTCAATCCGACCTTTGCATCGGCCCAGAAAAGCGCGTTGCGGCCTTCGGGGGCCCGCGCCGCTTTCTTTTTCATGTCCGCTTCTGGGTTCTTCTTCGCGTTTCGCGTCAAAGCGGGGCTCGCGTCAAACGCGTTTCGCGCGGCGGACGGACAGCTTTCTCGCTGAAGCCAAGCCCTTCAGCGAGCCCCGAGGGCCGATCTTCCGGCGTCAGCAACTGCTCCTGGCAGGGGGCCCCAAGCGATATGGGTTTGGCTCTCGGGGGACCTTCGAAATGGCTGGGGAAGACCCGGGGGTTTCCGGTTAAACCAAGCAGAAAAGGGTACCCTCGAAAGACGCGCCCGTATGCCATTGGTCACAGTCTTGTTCGGCTTCTGAATGGCTGCGAATTCGGGGGCTTCACGCTCTTTTGCTTTTCTTTTTAACCCATCCTTTTTTCCAATAGGTGCCCTATGGCAAAAAGTATCCCTGTGTTTGACCCGCTGAAAACCACCTGACCTGAGAGAGGTCTCCCGTTGGTTTAGCTCTTTAGTTCTACCTCCAATTGTTTGTGCTGTGGTCAAAGCAGTTGGGGCCATGAACCCTGGCGTCTTAGAGAGAGGGTTTTGGGGTTCAAAAAGGTGGTCGAAATGCATCACCTACCAATAAGGGAACTATCGGGGCGCACAGAAGCCATGGGAGCAATGCCGGGAATCACCCGTCAATATGCAGCAAGAGGGTGACAGGGCACATGAATGGGAACCAAGAAGGTGGGGGGGGGGGTGAAATCTCGCCAAATTCTGAAGTCAGTTGGGACACGTGCTGGAATATTGAGTGTGGCTCATAGGTTTCTCTACATCATGCCTCCCCAAAACTGTCCTTGACTGCTTGTTTTACATGTTCGCTTTTCCAGTTCAAGCCTCTCTGGGGACGCCTCGCAGACTTTTTTAGCCAACTGTCCAGGCTTCATTTCTGGACGCTCCACCCCCACATGTGTCAACACATGCTTTTTACCTGGGCTTGAACCCCCAAATCGTGGTTTTAGACCACCGTGAGGGTTCCGAAGAATTTCCACCCACACTGAACGGAGTTTCGACCATGGCACACATGTGCCACGATCAAAAACCAGGGTAGATTAAGGATAGTAAGGGCCGATCCCAACCATAAATAGCTGCGGCCGCCTTCTTGATTCTTTACATGGTTCAGGGATTACGACCATTGTAGTACCGGGTTTTTTGATTCTGACTCGCATGTGCCTCGTTGTTTTTCGAGAAAAATCCGCCGACCGAAGCTCGACCCATCGCCAGGTACCGCAGCTTCAGCGACATGGCGCGGAACATGCGCCAGGAGAGCGCCCAAATGTCCCGGCTCATGGACCGCCTGCGGGAGGCGCGCGTCGTTTCGGGGAGCGGGAGATTGTGGTTCCGGTGGCCGGGGGCAAAACAAGCTGGTATCCAAATTTGCATTTATTCTTTTAGAATAAAGAGGGAGCTGGTTGGAGCTAGGAGTTCTGTCACTTGCTGGTGCTCAGCATAGCCCATCCAACTGGTGGTTTCCTTTCGGCAATCCCCAGGGTCATTCCGTCACATTCCCTATTGCACCAGCAAGTTCTGACAGGTCCCTATATTTCCCACTGGCGATTTTCTACACCTCACCTTTTCGGCCACCATGGAAGGGTGAGTGTTTTTTGGTGGGGGTGATGTTCCAGGTGGGCTACGACGAGCTGGGCTCGCCCTTCAGCACGCACTCCACGGAGCCGGGGGGCCCGGAGTGGTTGCGGGGCTTGGAGGTCAAGGAGCCCTCTTTCTTCCCTTTTTCTCTTGTATTTTTTCGGGGGTTTGCGTGTGGTAAGGCTCCCTTTTGAGTCACCTCTTCTGACCCTTTTCACCCTTTTGATCCAGTTTTGGAGCCGGGCTGCTTGTGTTGACCCTGGGCTTGGCGTTTTCAACCGGTTTTGTATTCGGCCCTGAAAGCTATTCTTTTGACCCTGCTGGTTCTTGCGTTTGCCCCAGACGACATTTTGTTTGACCACGACCCCTACAAGGCTGATAGCGCTTCATAGATGGGTCTTGATCGTTGGCTAGTCTACTTTCTTTGTTCTGCTCGTGGCTGAAATGGGTCTGTCCTTTTTTGAGGGCACCCATTGTTGGTTGGCTTTTCAGGGAAGCCACCCAAGTGGACCGCAGCGCGCAACCATCCTTAGCGAGGCACATGGTCTGGCAAGTCGCGAAGGGCGGCACGTCTGTTGGCGAAGGGCACCCTTTAACTGTTTTCTTCGGATGAATTTGGAGGACCCCAAAGACGGATAAGATTTCCTTCCAGAAAGAGGAGCAGTAATTACGCACAAGCCCACATGTTAACGCCAGATGCCGATGCTGATGATGTTGATGATGTTGATGATGTTGTTGATGCTGATGATGCTGATGGTGCTGACAAACCTGGTGAAGCTGGTGATGCTGGTGTGGCAATGCTGGTGATGCTGGCATGGCTAGTGATGCCTGCTCGTGCCAGTTGGGCGCCCCTCACAATCCCGAATCTCCAAAGCACAGATTCCCCCAAGATCAAAAAGCAGCTTCAGGGGCCAAGACGAAAGGTTCGAGAAAGAGGCAGGCTCAAAAGCAAACACGGGGGAGAAGGCAAGGAGGGTGATAGGTATGTTTCCTCGAAGGATGATGTAGGTTGGGAGGTTGGCTGTTGCTTGGAAGGACTCTTTTTTCAGGGGGGGGTAGGGTTGTGTGTTTGTGTGTTTGTGTGTCTTGTGTTTGCTTGCTTGCTGCTGCTTGGTTGGGGCATCCCCAGCGGCCTCGTGACTAGTAGGGGTGGGTTTCGTCGGCGGGTTTCGACACCCCCTTCTTGTTGCCACCTCCTTTGGTTCTGGGAATGAGTTGACCACAACCTGACCCATCCCACTGATGGTGCGTGGGGCACGGGTTTCGCGAATTGAGGGCCAGCAGCCCTGGAGAGGACGGAACGCAGATTCAGGTCTGTGGTCAAAAGGAGATTGCTCGAAATGGACCCAGAACCCTTTTGGTGGGTATATCAGGCATATCGCAAATCAGGGTCTAGCAGAAACGGTGGCCTGTTTTTTTTTGAGATGAGATGGCACATGGCTACGTTTTGTTTTTTTCCCCAACAGCTGAAAGCTTTGGGGTCTCAGCCCAGATAGGCTCCGGGGTGGTCCGGGGCGGCCCTGAGGTAAGGTTCCACGAGGGTTCCACGAGGGTTCCACCAGGGTTCCACCAGGGTTCCACCAGGGTTTCACCAGGGTTCCACCAGGGTTCCTCGAGTTTTCCTCGAGTTTTCCAGGAGGTTCCACGAGGGTTCCACGAGGGTTCCACGAAGTTCTGCGGGGTGGCGAGCAAAACAAAGAGCACCGCACGCTGTTGGGGATATCACCTGAGCCTTTTTTTGTTGGCGTGTGCCGTAGTGTCAATCCCTATAGTTGAAGGGAAATTCCGAAAGGACCGCGTTGCCATGTTTATGGGGACAGATTGCCGTTGCAACCCAACAAGGTTAGCTGTCAGGGAGCTTGCTCAATGGGAATCGGCCTACCCCCAATCTCCTTTTATGTGTTTTTTCCCCAACAGCTGAAAGCTTTGGGGTCTCAGCCCAGATAGGCTCCGGGGTGGTCCGGGGCGGCCCTGAGGTAAGGTTCCACCAGGGTTCCACCAGGGTTCCACCAGGGTTCCACCAGGGTTCCACCAGGGTTCCACGAGGTTCTGCGAGGGCTGCGGGGTGGTGCGAGCACTAAAAGAGCACCGCATGCTGTTGGGGATATCACCTGAGCTTTTTTTTTCTTCTTCTTTTTTTTTGAGAGGACGCGCTCAGCTTGCTGGTTGGGGCATTTATCTTCAACGCCCAAATTTGGGGAATGAAGGACTCCTTATATTAAAGGTGCTTGGGCCGAGCAAGAAAATGCCCGACTTGCATTTTGCACAAATTCAGGGAACGCCGGCAAATTCGAAGATTGCGCTTATTGCCGCGCAACATGCATTGGGATTTCCAAACAGGAGTAGCCGGTTATTTTTGGGTTTTAAGGGGGAACCAAGAGGAAACCCCTATTTTGGGGGGGTCCGATTCCTTCTCCGATTCCTATTTTGAGAAACATTCCCACATGTTGATTGGGTGCCGGGGAACAATACCCAACAATAAACAACCATAGCTGTCCTTTTTGGCTGATTTGGTTGAAAAATAGAGGGCGATTCCTGGTTCGCCTGGTGGTTCCATCAACTACCAGGGAAACCCATCTATTTTCCCAAAAAGGACCCAATGTAAACCACATCCCACGGGCCAAATGAACTCGAAAGGACCTGACCGATTCCCCGGAGACCCAAAAGATCAAGGCGCAGCTGGTGGACATGTGCGGAAGCCCGGGCGCGCAAAAAAACCCAGACGCCTATCCCCCCAGAGGTTTTTGGGTCCACAGGTTGGGGTAACTGGGCTTTCCTTTGAGCGGGTAACCAGCTTTCACAAGTTGGCGCCGCTTTCTTTTCTGGACATCCACTGGATGTTTTTTGCAGGTCCCAGCCTGATGCTTCCATTGTTTCGTTCGTAGATGGAAGTCTGTCCGTTTTGCAGGACGTTGTCTTGTTGGCCCTCTTTGACCGTCGATGCGAGCGAGTGACATAGGCTGCTTTCTGCCGGAGAATTGTTTTCCTAAGGAACCGGCACATGAAGCTGACGAAGAAGATGTACCGAGCCACTGGGCTCGCAAAAATGCGCTTGAACATGCTTGAACATTTGGGGGCCCCCGGCCGTTCATTTGATTTGGAACCTCTTCAACCCTGACAGGAATGATGAACACAAACTCGACAGTCTTTTTTCGGTGTGGGATGTAAAGAGAGGCATTGCGTATTTTGTGGCTGGACAAGAACCAAACTTAACACCAAATGAAATAAATTAGTTCCCTGTGGATGTTGTGGCGGGAAATCCACTTCCCAGCAAATGGGATGGATGCACTCCCCTCTGAAAACGGGTTGAACTTGACATTGTGGGATCTAAACATCCCCACCAGAAATAAAGCCCCACCCATAGTGGCTGGTAAAACCAATCCACCCCACTCCAATCGGATTATCCACCTCGAGGCGCCGCCCGAACCGCCGGAAACGCCGAGGCGATGGACGGCTTGCTGCGAATGCATTCCTTGGACCAAGGCGGGCAACGTGCGCCAGAGAGAGCCCCGAGCCGAGCAACGTGCACCCCATACAGCGGGAGCAGCAAAAGAAAGGAACGAAGCCGCGGACGGAAAAAACGACAGGTGAAAAAACCGAGTGAAGACGTCCTATTTTTTGGTGGTGAAGGTAGATCTGGGAGTCCTGCTCCGATCGCTTGCAGAACCTACCAATGAAAAGCCATCTATTTTCAAACAACAGCACACCTATGGACTCACAACAAGACGATCGATCCCCATCGCCAGCCTTCGCAAACGCTGACGGCCAGCCGGGAGCCTAGTCTGCGCTGAAGAGGTTTCCCAGATTTCCCTTGGTGGTTCTGTGGCAAGGAGAAAAACCACAGATTCGTTTCAGCAACTGGAAGCCAACCCAAACCAAGCCAACAAGCACAAGCAAACAACGACGTGAAGTGATCGGAGCTGTGAATGTTTGCGAAATCCGCTCGCACCACGAAATGAATCCATACAGTTTGTTGGTATTTACAGGGGAATCCAATCATTCCAGGGCTTTTTAGCTGGTGCGAACGGATTTCAGCCAGCTCCAGTATCATCATCTTTTAGGTTGTCAATTCAAAGAGAGTTTCGGGTCATGTGAAATGAGGAATGGGGGAATCCCGACTGTGACGGTTTTTCCACCGTCTTGCCGCATTTTTGGGACCCGACTTGAATTTCCTACTGGACACATTGCGGGTTGGCGAGCGGCGAGTGTGGAGGCACGAACAAGCAGTTGAACCCCTACCAAAGTGGAAAAGGAGGAGCGAGCGAGTGTTCACATGGTTTGGGAGAATCGATATTACCAGGCAACGCTCTTGGTGCGAAACCCATATTCGAAGGTACCAGCATAAGTTCAAGGCTCATGTTGCAAACGGAAGTACACCAGGGTAGCGAAAGACGGCACAATTCCCTTTTGCTCTGGAACTCTGCCATCCTTCAATCAACTGTATGTGGGTGTGTCATTTGCTAGGGGACCCCCAATGCTTTTCCTTTGGGTTTTCCTTGAAGCCAACCCCCCAAAAAGGGTAGCCTCGGAAGGAAAATCCGCTCCGGGCGTGCCAGCCGTAACGGCCCAGAGCATCTGTCTCACAGATCGATCAGTATTGCTAGGGTTCTTTCCTCACCTTGTCTTTCATTTGCATATTTGTTTTGTTCCCTTGTTGGTCTTAAGGTTTCTTAAGGTTGCTTAAGTGATTTGTGTCTTGTGTTGCTAAACGCACAAATCCCCTGTTGGCTTTAATGCCTCGGGTTTTACTCTTTTCAAGCAGCTTTTATTCTTTTCCCTAAGGGTCCAAGTACTCTATACTGAGGTACTTTCGTGAAAAAGCCGTGCTTCTGACACTCCTGGGCCCGAGTACATGAATATTGCGGATTCTCATTTTGAAGCCATTTGGGAACACAAACCCAGCGCAGACCACGCGATACGTTCATCGCTGGATGGCACACGGAAGCACTGCCTAAGGTAACATGTCATACATTCGCCTCTAAAGCGGGGTGTTGCGGGTCAAAAGCCTCGGGATGCTCAAAGATGCGCAAAGATCTTACTGCCTGAGTAGCGACAAACTACCTTCTGCATTGTTTCAAGCTGAGGGACTGTTGCCGAATGTTGCGCATGTCTTCACCATGTCCTGCAAGAACAGCGATCGTGGGGAAAGTGCTTGTTCTTGTCAAAAGTGCAGCACCGATATGGCGTCGCAACATCCTTCAGTGCATCAGAATCACCCTGGTGGCATCGAAACAGCACTCGCGAATTAAATACGTTTCCCAGAACTGATGCCGCAATTTAACGCGATTTAACGCCCGGAAGCTGGCATTCACGGTTTTTAACGCAATTTAACGCAATTTAACGCAACTTTATCGCGTGATGTGTGGAAACTTTTTTCGCATGTCACAGCACTCACACATTAAACTAATGTACATTCTGAGGTTTCGTGCGATTTGACACCATTTAATCCGATTTAACTCCCACAAGTGCGCCGGCACGGCTTTGGACGCAACTTGTTTCAATCGAGAACAACTTTATCGCGTGATATTTTGCTTCAACAACCGCAGCCTAGACCGGGTGGGTTGATGTGCTAGAGAGCCCAAGAGTCCTTCTTGAGCAACCCCATGCCCCCAAGACAAGCTGATCACCGAAGGTTATGATGCAACTATGCCGCGGTTGCAAATGAGGTGAAGCTGTCAGACTAAAACACTCTTCCGCGAACGGGATGGCTGAATTTTGGTGCAACACGGTGCAACATGTCATATTCACGGCTTTTCGCCCCGAAGCCGCGCTCCTGACATGTTGAGCCAAAACACGCGAATATTACGGATTCCGTTAAGTACCTTGTAGTTACGGATTTGGACCCTCAGGGTTTCAATCAGTTTCTCCCAGTTGCGGTTTCAAACACTACTGGACATATATAGCTTTATTCTTTCCAGGGGACGCTGCAAATGGACGAAGCTTCAAGAAGCCAAGGCGAAGACATGTCCCTCGGGCTCCCTCCGGCTCCCTGTGGGTTTACGGAATCCGTTCGTTCACCGCGTTGAACCCCATGGTTGGTATTTACCGTTGGGGAATCGAATTCTTCCTTGGGTGTCTCAGGTGCAAAATGGATTTCGTCAACCCATATGTTTCCCCGTTTTGGTCTTGCTCGATACGTCACCTTTGTGGCCACGCGGGTTCAGGTTGGATGTATGGGTGTGTTTCAAAAAAGGACTTGGACTCCCAAAATTGGCGAGGCCTTGTTTCCTTTTGGTTTCCCTTTGCCAACCTAAAAGGGGTATTTGCCAAAGACAGATTCACATGGGTTTGTCTCAAAATACCCGGACAATCTGATCCTTGCTCCTGTGCCAACCCCAAAAAGGGTCACCCCCACCCCACCTCACCCCCACCGGCCCCCCCACGCCATCCTCAAAACATTGACAGACCAAGAAAATCCACCGCGCTTACCCCACCCCCACCCACCCCCACCCACCCCCACCCACCCCCACCCACCCCCACCCACCCCCACCCACCCCCACCCACCCCCACCCACCCCCACCCACCCCCACCCACCCCCACCCACCCCCACCCACCCCCACCCACCCCCACCCACCCCCACCCACCCCCACCCACCCCCACCCACCCACCCCACCCACCCCCACCCACCCCCACCCACCCCCACCCACCCCCACCCCACCCCACCCCACCCCAGTCCGCTCTCGGACTCTCGGACTCTTGGCTGTAGGTGCAAGTCCACGTCGCTCTCCCTGAGCACCTCGCCCAGCAGCGGAGCCCAGGACAGCTGAAGCATGTGGGGGTCAGCGCCCCCAAATTTGCAAATTTGGGGTATGGGTCAATGTTGAACCACCAGAGAGATCGCAGGTTTTAGTCCTTGGTTCCATTTACCAGGGTTCCATTTTGAGTATCTATTTTTGACCCACACCCATTTGGGGGTCAGCGCCTGAAACCCTCAAATTTGATTGGCTGTTTTTTGGACGGTTCTGTCTCCTGCCTGGCTATGAATTTAATGGGGAACCTGCTGAAAAGTGATTGGTGGACATAAGTCCCCACCAGCATGACGTCCACCAAAGGGTCCCTAATTAAAATTCAGACCCATTTGAGTAGATGGTTCTCTGTTTCTACTTGGTTATTGGCATGTTTTTGTGTTCGCATTTTTATTGTCTGATTGGTTTTGAGACACATCACTATCTCCAGCTCAGAACCCCAAATGATCGGCCATGCGCAGCTCAGTTTGTACCTGGACAAGTCCAGGATGGTAGTAGTCCCCTGTATATATCGTGAACGCCAGCAAAAGTCAATGGGTGTTGGGCTTGCCATTTTGGGGTTTCTCAAAATGGGCGTCGAAGGGGGACGCACAGGGAAACCCGTCACCAGTTTTTTTGATGATGCCATGAAATACACATTTGTTGTTCGAACAGAGGAGCCAGACACTTTCCAGTTGGCATGAAGCATCAATGATATGGCCTCCATTGTAGGAGAGGTGGCCTCAAAACAAGTTGGACCCTTCCATGTGACGAATGGGTTCTAACTTCCAAGCTTTTTCTATAGACTAGTGGTGTCTGGGGAGTGCTAGAGCTGCTAGGGGCGGTTATATGGATTTGCAAATTGGGCTAAAGCGTTAACCGTAGGTGGTCGCTTGTCTTGACTCTTAATAAGTATCCACTTGGGCCACCATTTTGGCTCAAGTGGACCTTTTGATCTTTTGTCTTGTGATTTGAAATCTTTCTTTCCCCTACTCTCAAAGCCATGTACGCCCCCGCCTACGCTGGTGCCGCGGTAGCAAAGGCCAAGGCTAAGGCAAAGGCCTCCATGGCAAAGTACCTGGCGAGCCTCGTGAAGAGGGAGGAAGAAGGATGGACCGTTTTGGCTGCTGAGGTCCCTCAGGCACCTGACGAGCGTTTCTTCTCCAGCGCAGATGAGCTGGAGCAGGCCCCCCTTATCCCGGCCAAGCGCAAGGCAGAGGATGAGCCGATGGAAGATGCAGCCCCTGGGGTGGCGCAGGTGCCGAAGGCCCTGACACGCCCTCCAGGGGCGTTCCTGGAGCTCCTGAACCCGCCGGAGGAGTACGTGCCCATTGAGGAGCTCCAAACCACGAGAAGGACCTTCCGATGCCCCTCGGCTGCAGCCCGCTTGGAGGAGGCCCGCCTGGATGCCCGGGCAGACGCCAAGTGGCAGAGGCGCCGGGAGCTGATGGCGAAGGTCAAGGAGCAGGCGTCCTCGGAGGAGGATGAGAACCCCGCAGCCCCCCCGCCGGGGGGGAGCGTGTTCACCAAGGCCCTCAAGGTCTCGGAGGGCCTCTACCAGTTCAGCGACGACCAGATGGCGGGCGACTTCCCTTGCTTCGATGCGACCACGGCCACTAGGCTCCGCCGACTGCAGGCCAAGGACGTCCAGCGGCTCCTGCGAGGCTTTGAGGGCCCCCAACTCAAGCAGGGGGGCCTGGAGCGCGTTGTGGAGGCCTTCTACATCGCCAAGATGAAGTACGAGCATGAGGCCCGGCTCAGCACCCCGGGACAGCAGGTTGGCAAGCGCGCTGGCTTGGGGTACGGGGGCCTGGAGAACCGCCCCCTGGGCAAGGTGCCCACATCCTGGATCTGCCCCTGCTGCACCATGCCCTGGGTGAAGAAGGGCGCCACGAAGTGCATGGGGTGCGGCAAGAAGACGGAGCCCATTGACACGGCGACCAACTCGGCCACCCTGGAGATGGCGGGCACGCATTGGCAGTTGACGGTGGATGACCAGGGCAATGCGGTCTGGACGGCGGCCCGGTCCGCGGGTGCCGAAGGCCCTGACACGGACCGGGCCCGCGACCTCAAGCTCAGTGCCTCGGTGGACGTCAGCGAGCTGGCCACCGACCCGATGGCCTGCGAGAACCCGGACCAGGCCAGCTTCTCGGTCAACGCCACCACCATCGCCCAGGAGGAGGCCAAGAAGGCGGACCAGGTGGAAGCGGTGGAGCGCTCCGCGGCGGTCCTCCACGAACTTCAAGGGGGGGCCATTGACGGAGGAGGTGATGGAGCTGCTCCTGAAGAACCTGGACTTGGACCTCTTCCGTGAGAAGCTGCTGGACAAGCTGGGTGCGGACTGGGGGAGACCCACACCGGAGCTCCTCCAGGCCCAGACCACTGCGGAGGAGGCGAAAGCGAAACACCAAGCCAGACAGGCGAAGGGCTCCCTCGAAACCAGAATGCTCGAGCCCATCGCGCCTCCCTTCAGTGCGTGGCCTAGTGAGGTCCGGGTCGCCATTGAGACTGGGGTCTTCGAGCCGACAACGGCATGGAGGGACTTCAGTATGGACGACCTCACATCCCTCACGGACTCCTACCTTGAGGCCAAGGCGGTCATCTCGCTGGGTAGGAATCCCTTCCCGGCGGCCCTCCTGTCAGATCTGCCGGACCTGACAGGGATCCCCATGCCAAAGGCGGGGGGCTCTGGTGCGGCGCGCCCAGGTGCCGAGGGCCCTGACAGGCCGCCCACCATCCCCCCAGCCTCGGGCTCTGGCGTGACGAGCTCAGGTGCCGAGGGCCCTGACAAGCCGTCCGCCACCCCGGTGGGCCTGGACACCAAGGACCCGGAGGTGCAGCTCTCGGTCCTGCGCTGGATGATGAGCAAACGGGTCGGAGAGGTCCGTATCTTTGCGGGCCGCTGGGTCCGACGATCGGGCCCGGTACACGTCCCGGATTGGGCGAAAAACCTCACCAAGGTGAATCCGGAGGCGTTGGAGAAGGGTACGCATCCCAGGAACCACCAGGTGGGTGGACTCCCCTGGGCCAGGTACTCCGTTGATGAGTTGCACCAGCAGGCGAAGGCGGGGGACCGACCCTACCCTGGGACCTGCGATCCATCTTTTGGGCTGCCCCCCACGATCCGGATGAGGACTTTTACTGGCGCGCCAGATCTCGTCCTGGACACTCCCACACCCTGCGCCAGCTCTGGGGAGTCTGGGAGTCTCTGCCACTGCTGCAGGGCCCTAGGCAGCGGGGCCCGAAAAACAAGGCCCAGAATCAGACCCGCCTGGAGGGCTGGGAGACCCTTGAAGGAGGACGCGCGGTGCTTCCTGAAGGAGGAGGGCTTCCGTTTCCGCAGACAGGACCGGAGTGGCGATTGGTCTACCGGGCCATGGGCAAGGTCCTCGCGGCCCGGGCCTTCCTCACGGACACCCCGGCGGAGGTGATGCAGCTCCCGGTCCAGGACGTGGCGGACTCCAAGGAGCAGATGATCCTGCGGGCGGTATGCGACGAGCGCATCTCGGTCCCGGTGGAGAGCCTCCAGCAGTTCCCAGAGGTGTACAAGGCCCTCATGGACCGCATTGGAGGCCCGGGGGCCCTGGCGGAGGTGAAGGTCAACTGGCGCTGCAACACGAAGCAGTGGTGGGTCGGCGCAGTCCCCGACTCAGTGGCCCCCTCCATCTACCGCAAGCTCGGCTACACCAACGACATGATCAAGCTGATGGGCCTGGACCCCTCCGCCCCTGGGTGCCGGACAGGTGCCGATGGCCCTGACATCCGCCCCAGGGGAGGCGAGGGCGATGAGGGGATTGTTTACCCCCCCATCACGGCGGACAACGTCCACGGTGTGGTGGGTAAGGACTACCGGAAGAAGAACTATCCGGTGGAGATGAAGCATGTCTTCTGGGCGCACATGGAGTGTGGCCTGGTCCTGAGCTCCGTCACCCCGTGGGAACTCATCCCGAAGACAAAAGGGGAGACCTGGGGGGGCTACATGTGCAAGTATTGTAAGGGGTACTGGCGTGCCGGGGGAGGGGGCACCCGCCTCCTCCAGATCCGGGCCGGCAAGGCCATCTTGCAGCTGGTGTTGGACGAGCCGCCGGAGGGCCTCTACAACCGCTGGGTGAAGGAGCGGCTGGAGTACTACCGCCGGGTGGAGCCCTCGGCCCCGTTGCGGGACGTCTCCATCGTGGACCAGAAGGTGCCCAGGTTCAGATTCAGCCAGACCACCCAGACAGGCCACGTCTCCAATGCCATCTGGGAGCTGATTCTGCGGAATCCGGAGGCTGCTGCGCTCAAGCGCATCGATGACATCGCGAAGGGGGCCGCGTGATGATGCGGGACAACGCCATCTTCCGGCACACCATCCAGGACCGCGGCCATCCGGAACGGATGCGCAGCGCACCCCGGGGGGGGGACAGCTGCCGAAGGCGCTGATATCCCCCCCCAGGGAACAGCGCAGGCCCAGACTTGCACCAGGCGAGGAAAATTGGCGCGGCTTGGGCTGATCCGGGGTGCGCCTTGGTTCCCCTCTCTTGTTTGGTTTTCCCTTTTCGGGGCGGCTCCCTGGGTCCCCCTTTTTCCCCCGTTTCCTCCGTTTCGGGGTTGACTTTCCGGGGTTTTGGGGGGCCCCCTGTTGTTTGGTTGGGGTTTGCACCTAGGGACTAGGCCCCCGGCTCGAGTGGATCATGATGATGTGGAGGCCCCGCCTCCCTTCCCCGTTTGGGACGACCTTCCTAGGGGCGCCAACCGCGCTCCAGTTGATTTTGCATGACCTTGGATTTGCACCAGTGCAGTCGGACGGGGAAATCCTCGTGGCGTGCTGCCTGGAATGGGTCAAAAAGGACAAGGTCGCCAACCCGGATGCGGTGGTCTTTGACCCGCGGCCGTGGACACGGATCGTGGGGCTGGCACCTGACGGCAACCACGTCCTGGTGGCCTCGGACACCTACAACTTGATCCTCGCGAGGATACTCGGCTCCCAACCACAACCGCTGGAGGAGGCGGATTTGGAGCTCGCTACTAAGACCCTGC